CCCCAAAACCCCAAAACCCCAAAACCCCAAAACCCCAAAACCCCACCGAAGAATAACCGGGTTGAAGTAAGCATTTATTACTCGAGTGTTATATTCAGTCTGAGTCGCTTTGAATTGATCTACCAGACACTCGGAAGGAACTCTTGAGCTTATTTAAGTTCTTCTGAAGCCATGATTCATCCTTAGAACTTTCAGTAGCATTAACCGCTGCTTCTTTGTAGTTAAAAAGTCCTACTTTCTGAGTATTAGATAGATATTTTGATTTCTTTCGCTCTTGTTTCACTGCTTGAACATCATCCCCGCTCAGAGTTGGAGGACCACTAAAATCATCAGAATCTTTATCAAAGCGCTGATTTTTGAGAGGCCTATAATTGAATTAAGAAACTTACATTGTTCTAGCATGATCAGCCTGAGCATTAAAATGAAGATTACTCATCCTATCATCAGCACTAGAAGGCTTTCAAGGCATTGTTCTTGTATACATAGCAATACTAGATGAGCTCTCAGTTTCTCCTTCCCTCTCATCAACATCATCTGTAATTTCAAGATCGGTGACACTTTCTCGGATGGGTCCTTCTCCTAAAATCTTACGATCTGGAACTCTAACAGAATGAAAAATGTGTTCAAGAAATTGCTGAAAAGGTTACCTGAATTTGGATCGATCTTCTCAAGCTCATCAAATTCAAAGTCATCGTCGACATACTCTTCGACTTCCTCGATGGCGTACTCTATGACGCCTTCAATCGCTTCAAGGATTTGATTGTTTGTCAGCCGCCTAATCCAAAAGGTGTTTTCGATCATTGGCCTTAAGTCATCTTGTTTATAAAGCTCTTTTAAGTAATGGGCAAGGTAGATCATCTCTTTATCCTTCTTGTCATTAAAGAACGGAAGCATGGGAATGCCATTGTCTATCTGGAACCCGAATGAATGGACTGCATTATCGATAAGAACGATGTCCTTCATTTCCCACTGATCTTCGAAGATTCTGAGATCTTTGATATACACATAATCTCTTGTTGTGTATCAACTATCTCTGTATCACCGGTATTCTATGAGCTCACCATCTGGGTCAATATGGTCCAAAATAGTATCAGCATACTCTTTCTTTGAAGCAGTGAAGACAATAATTTGATAATACTGTTTTAACTCCAATAATCATTCTCGTATAAATGGTCTAATGTTCACAGGGAGGTATTCGAGCCCTTCTGAAGAAAATTTGAACTTTAGCATAACATCTGTTTTACCAATCCCATTGGTTTTTTTTGCAAGAGCAGCTCTGTCAAACACACAGTGGATCAGAGTTTCATCCATATCAAATACTGCTAATTTCTTCTTATCAGTAGGAGGGAGTGTCACTTTTTGGTCCTTATAAGCATCAGTAGGCTGAAGAGTGTTTATGTAATAAAGACCTTGCATACTTTGTGTCGCATGCACTTTATTATCATCAACTATTCTATCTGTTAGTTCTGGGATAACAGAATCATTATCACAGTTCCTTTCATGATCTGTAAGTTCTACATCAAGTTTTTGATTAGATTCAAGCAGCTCAAGTGCTGTGTTACGGTAGATTTCACGAAAATAGTATCCAGGGTAGTCAGGGAAAATTTCGTGATTTTCATAACTCACAATATCTGCATGCTTGTTAAGCCTGCCAAACCGTTGGTTTCGCACAAAATCTCTAGAATATTTGACTTCAGCTTTAGCCTGGACCTCAACCTTCTTCAATCCTGTAGGATTGAACATATCAGTAGGGCTTAGAACGCTCATAGTAGGGGTTAGAGGAAGATCTTCCATTGAAATAGTAACATCAGCTGCTTCTCCAATACTATCCACACTCTGGTCAAGCTGTGGGTTCCTCAAATCTCCTGTTGATTTTCATTGACTTGGCCGCTCATTTTCTTCAGCTCTGCTATTCCTCATACTTCTTGAGTGGTTTTGAGCTGCTAACTCCGGCAAATCAGCTGTATTTATAATAGATGCTTTAAAGTTATTTTCTTTTTCGGCACTAGACTTGCGCAGTCTTTTTCTTCTATTAGAATCCCTAACTTTGTAGGTACTGACACGGTGATCGTTCATTGTTCGAGAGTAGTGTTCTCTACTTACTTCAAATTCAAGGTCTTGTATGATCTGGTCGTTATTAAGAAAGGAATTATCATTCTCATCTAGCAAAGGAGCTCCTCCAGGCTTGTACTCCAGTTCCTCAATATTATCTGCAGCTGATACAAAAGGTGACCTATGGGATTCATTGTTAGAAATAGTTGACGGAGAAATACAAGGTCTTTAAATAACATTTTTAAAAGTTTGAGGTTAGCAAGGATTTTAAAGGCAGATATGGCTCATTAAAGATTCCAATGATCTGAAGTAAAACTTTAAATATCTGGTTTAATTAGGAAAGGATTTTCATTGACTTACATTTTTGATTCCTCAAAGGGATCTACAGGCTTGTAGTATCAACTATCTGACTTTTTCCTTTTGTAAGCTGTATTATTTCTGATCTATAATTGTTAAATATAACTGCCTCAAGTCTTTGAATTACCTTTGGCGCACTGAAATTAGGAGAAAATGATTTCCCGTGCCTTGATATTTGATTCGAAGTGTCATCAATATTCATTGTTCTCCTCACATATCTGGAGGAATTATCAAGTGTATCTTTATTTACTCTCACTATTTCTACGTTTAATGCTTGAGTTAAGGATATCCATGATGTTCTTATCCGCATTAGACTGTCTCCTCTTAGTCCCATACATTAAATTCTTCATTCTCTCATTATTCTTATTCTTCAGGCTGAAACTTCCTTTATAAGGACTCTCCCTTACAAAGGAGTTCTTAGCAATTGGGGGCTTTTTGAGGGCCGAATCTCTGCTTTCCTTCTTCTCCTGCGTGCTTTCCTCAACTCTTCCTTCTAATTTCAAAATTTTTGATACACTTTTCATTTTATTCTCAATTTTATGCATGCTTCCGCTTCTTTTCATTGCCTTTTGCTGCTCTACTTTAACTGTCTCTTGCTTCATAGTTGTCAACCTCTGTCGAGGGTCGTGGTTGTTCTTAACTAATTTATCAAATACCTTGTGAGCAGTGTCAGAGCTGAAATTAAAAAAAAGGATTTGATTCCCTAAGACAGTCTATGCCTTCTTCTGGTCCTGAGTGTACAGAGTATCGAAAGGGAGAAACTTGCTGGTCCAATTCATCATCAAAGGGATTTCATTCATATCTCTGGTTTTCTCTTAGTACTTTATCTAGTTTTGCATTTGTTGTCCCTCTAAGTCTATGCCGGTCGTTTTGAGCACCAATAGCGCTGTAAGGACTATATATGGTTCACCTCCCAGTTTCCAATACAAAACTTACTTTTCCTTAATAATAGTAGCATTTATACTTTTTTCACCTTCATCCTTTTCATCTAGTTGTTCTTGAGTTTGAAATATTGTGTTATGAAGCATTCTTCTCTTCCTCCTATAGCTATTTGGGTTCTCCATTCCTTAAAACCTAAAAATATTTTAAATCAATCTCTCTCCCAAAAACTGGGGTTTTGGGGTTTTGGGGTTTTGGGGTTTTGGGG